AGGGGGAGCAGCCGCGCCCCGCGACGGCCCCGCTTCCTCTTCCTGCCGCCGGCCGGAGCTGCTGGAGGGGCGAGGGGCGGCTGGGCCTGGGGCTGGGGCTGGGGCTGGGGCTGGGCCTGGGCCTGGGCCTCGGGCTGGGCCTGGGGCTGGGGCTGGGGCTGGAGCTGGAGCTGGAGCTGGAGTACAGGGTCCGGCCGGGCTCCCCGGGTTCCGGGCGGCTGCCGGGCACGGCCCCATCCCACACGAGCTTTTTCATACATATAGATATATAAATATATGTATATGTATGTATATATATATATATATATATATATATACACACACACACATACACACCTTTTGCCTGTATATATGCATATATATTTCTCCAGGGCAGGAAGTATTGTATGGGGTCTTGGGACGAGGGCCCTTGTGTTACTCAGCAGTGCTTTCTCAGGCGAAACCTATGTGTAAGAAGGTGGCTGTGGAGTGGAGGGTAATGGAGAGTTGATGTAAACACTTAGTAATAAAGGGATAGGACTCGGGAATGAACGTATACCTTAACCACTCTGTCTCAAGGGAGTCTTGACCCACTCTTTGCCAGGGCTGGCTCCTGCTTCTGTTTTTGGCTGGGGTACCCACCCCATTATTGTTTTGGTGGTAAATGTCTCAGACTGATTCTTCAGGGCAGTCCATGGTGTGAAATCAGTGCTGAGATGAGTGAATAGAGCTGCTGTGTTCCCCTGAAACAGCTGTGCTTCATTTTGATATGTTTAGCCTTAGGGCTATATATAAAAAGTTATGTTATTATACAATACTATTAATAGTATGTAATTTTAGTAGATATAGTAAGCTTTCCTGGATCTTCCTCTGCTAGCATGCTCACAAGTGTCTGTACCTCACAAGGAAGTCTCATAAATGTAGATAGATCTAGTTTACAGAGCTAGCTTGAGAAAGCCACTTAAACAGTTAACTAGGAGAAAAAATATGAAGGATGAATATGGGTAGTGACATAATCTTATGGTGGCTCAGCTGTTGTTAAAAAAGCCAAAGTGAAAGTACCTCTATCAGAGCTGCTGCGCTTTGTGACAGGTTGCCATTATGGGTTCTTTGCTCCACTCTTGTATTTTTCTGTCAGCTTTTGTAATTTGTCCAGGATTTTCAGATGTACACCAATCCAGAAATCCCAGCCAAGCAGTCACAGTACATGTTGACTCTGTTACATGCAAGATGAAACTCGTATACAGGGCTGGTTGGGTCGGTGCAATTACATCGCCCAAACAATCTGTGTCTGCGTGGGGAACTGACTGGAATGGTGAATGTGCTGAGTTTCTGTTGCTTTTTGATTTTCTGATATGGTTTGGTCTAGAAAGATCTAAAGTGTCTTCTGTTAGACAGGGGAAGTTTCCCGATACCTCAAATATCTAATATATCAAATATCAATATCAGGATATCAAGATATCAAATATCTTCACCTTATAACCAGTGAAACATTTGATTTTCATTTTCTCAAAAGCACTACTGGTGGCCATCTTGGTCATCTTGGCCATGCTGTGACACAGTCATAAAGAACCATTGTTTATACCTGGACCTCACAACTTACAGGAAAGTGTATCTCTTGTGTAAGCAGCTGCTACTGTCTCAGCTGCTGGGTTTGCAATATATTGATTGTTGGAAGATGAAGAATATAGATTTCTGAGGTATTGAGAAAACTGCAAGTCCAATGAAAACCAGACCCCTTTCAATCTGGCTCATCTTCATACACTGGTTCATACTGCTGGGTGAATTGCTTCAGTTCTCTAAACACTTGTAGAGCAAGACAAGAAACACATAAAGTCAACTGAAGCCAAGGAAAAGGTGCAAATGAAAGGAATGGGAGGTGTGAAAATCTATCACTGCTAGTCTTGATACCTAGTTGCAATCATGAGCATGGTCTCAGGCCAAAAGCTTAAAATTTTGTTTCTTTTTTGGACACATGCATTGGGGAAGCTGAATTATATCAATTAAAGATTTTTAAAAAGATGGCCAGGTGTGTGGCTTTAGGGGTTGGCATTTGGTGATCTCTGGTAAATGTAACTGAATATTTGGTTTTCTGTTATGTTTCCCAGGCCTCTCTTGAGGGTTTGTTTCAAGCAAATGGCAGTTGCAGGCTCCTGTTTTTCAGTGGAGAGATTTTTCTGTTACCTTTGTTACGTTTTGTTGATGGCTATTAAGGCAGCAGAGGAGAGCATTCCAATTATAATTGCTTGTAGGGTTCATTTCCTTTCAGAAATTGATGTTGAAATATGTATCTCAAAAATAATGAGCTCTTTCTTTGTGAAGGCAGAGTCATCATCATTATCAAAATGTCATTGCTGTGAAGATCAGGAGGGGTTTTAAGGATGTGGTAATTTTGATATTACTTTTTTTTTTTCCTCTTCTTTCTTGACTGACAGAGTCTTAATTACTTACGATTAGCTATTTTGTGTACTGGGGGTTGGTTGTACAGCCCCAAAATATGTATTCAACAAATACAGGAGTAAAAGGAAAAGAAAGGCTGCACCTGCTGTGTTCATCTTGGAGAAAAGCTGCTCTTGTGTTTAGAAGAAAAACTTAGAACCTGGTAAGTCCACATTCTGGGTCTCAGTAGCCTGTCTCTAACATTGAAAAGCAGTTACACTGCCTGGAGGGTGATCACTTTAAAGATTATTGGAAACGACTGGGTGCCATGGCAGAGTGTGCACAGACACTCAAACCTGAGACTACTGCTGTGGTGCTCATTGTCACACTTCTCCTAGAGTGTAGGGCTCTGTTTTTTCAGAGGAGACAACAGTGAGTCTGATGCAAAATATAAACAAAGTCTACATGGACAGCTTAACAGATGAGATTTAGCTCTAGTATCTGCATATCTTAATGAAAATTTATCCAATATAATATGGAATTGTACAGCTTAGAATTTGGGCACATCTTCATGAATACAAAGACACAGATACATTATCCTGGCTGCCCTTCATCCAGCTCCCTTTAAATTACTCTGACAACTTTTTAAGAGGAGTGAACAAGCGTTATTTTCCACTAACTTAATTTAGTAAAAAACCTAAGTGATTTCTTCTTCCAAAAGACTTGAACTTGTGTTGTTTTTTCAGTGTATGCAATTTTTTTTAAAGTTGGTTAAAATGTCTCACTTTAGGTGACTGAAGATTGATACTAGAAAACAGTGGTGGAACATATTGGGTGGTATCTACAACTGGAGTGCCTACAACAAAAAAATGTTCCCTTTTCTATTAAGCACAGGAATATATTTCTGCCAGGTCTAACTCTATTTTATCCCTGTTAAATGTTGTCCTGTAAATATGAAGTTATGTTATTTCAGTTTGTGGGAACCCTCTATGATTAAAGAGCAGGTTCCTGGTGACAGTAGTATGGAGAACACTATCAAGCACACATGCCCCACAGATTCATGTGCCAGCTGGGAGGCACCCCAGAGAAGCTCGCTGCTTGTTCCAGTGCAGGTACTGTGGAAATATCTCAAGAGGACAAATCACTGTGATGATGTCAAGAGATTTCTGTTTCTCAGTATGACTGAGTTGTTGTCTAATACACTCTTCTCATGCAACTTCTTTGGATTGTACATTAATATTTCCCAAGAGCATGTTGCAATATTGTGTGTGTCAGATTTCACTTTGGTTCTCAATAATTTCTTCAATTATGTCCTGCATTAATGGTTTGCATAGTCTTGGAAAACAGCACAAGGGTGTCTTCTGCCAAATAAATACATTGAGATAGCAGCCTCAGCATACTTCATATATTTTTACTGCTTTTTTTGCTTTCTGGGAAGACTTCTCCACAGTATGTAAAATCTTCTAAATAGCTATTAATTCCTTCAGTGGTGGTGGTCCCTATTATTTATGATAAAATGCATATATTAAAAAAAAACCCTAAAAAAGCTTTGCAAAGTAAATGTATGAGCTGCTTTGCTAAATAGCAAACTCAGTTGTATGCAAGAAATTGTACTCACTTTGGTAAAAGGAAAAGTTCTATTGTATGAGCATTACAGAAACTCAAATGATCACAATTGTTTCTGAATCTTATTTTGCCTCCTAATCTGAAGCGTGTTAGATCTCCAAGAGTTTTCTATCAGTCTAAACCACCAAGAGAGCCAGGAAAGACAAGTAATGCAGCCACTGTGCAGTAAGGGCAAAGTAAATGTGAGAGACTATCTAGATTCAGTCCTGTAACCAAACACCCTTTCTCCGTTGCAGCTATCAGCAGTTGGGCTTTACTAAGTGGCCAGGGGCAAAAAGATAGTAATAAATTTAGCATGGAGAAGAAGGAGACAGATGGCTGTAGACTGGTTGATCTTGAAGTGAGAGGTCTGAAAGATATAGTACATAAAACTGCTGACAGAAGATGTGTTAGAGAGAGGCATAAATGCAGGTAGCTATAAAGTAGCAAAGGTATTTTAGAAAGGTGCAAGACCAGATCCAGGCATCTAAGTGTCTTTTGCTGTGATCTCAGTAGGCTTTAAAATAAAATGTGATGGAGGGCATAATAAA